GTATAATATAACAAAAAGTAATAATTTATCATAATTGTACAAATTAAAACGGAAGGTATATATATATATATATATATATATAAGTATTCAATAGGGAAAAAACAAAAAGAGAACAACCTAAAGAAATCATTAAATGCTCTTTTGTGTTTGTAAAAACGAGATGCGAGTGGCGTTACACACTCCGAAGTTTAAACGAGCATGTGCGAGCAAAGTTATGTTCCACGCGCGGAGATTTGAACTCGCGATATCCACCAATTCATACAATCCGTCAAAAGATCAAGCGTGGGTGAGTAAATACGCAACGCTAAAAGCCCGTGCAACTCGGCGCGAAGTGCAAATGCCACCGCGTCATAGACGCATATAAACGGTAATCCGTGCGCAATGTGATTAATAATAATTTGCCGGTCGGCATAAGCGGAACCGATTAGCCGGCTTAGCCAAGCGTTATGGTAATAGGGAGCTATTACCCACCAACTGCACCCTATCTCTCTCTCTCTCTCTCNNCTCTCTCTCTCTCTCTCTCTCTCTCTCTCTCTCTCTCTCTCTCTCTCTCTCTCTCTCTCTCTCTCTCTCTCTCTCTCCTCTTTTGCTCCCTGTTTCGTTCTCTCTCTCTCATTCCCGTCCGTAATCCCAGGTTTCCGTTATGTCTCCCTACCATAAATGCTGCTCACATCTATCCGTCTGTCTCCGTCACTTTAACGCTCGCTCTCGTGACGGCCAGTCACTTTGAGCATCGACCACCGATTCAATCTTGCTGGCGTTTGCTCACCCGGTGCGGCCACCTCCTTCGACTCTTCGATTTTCCACATCGATAGATAAATCTCTTCGAGGACGCGTCATAAAGACGATATGTTGACGCGAATCGATCCGCGCGCCAACTAAAGCGCACAGTAAGATTTGCAGAACTCGAAAAACCTTTAACCATAAACGTAAGAAATCAATACAAAGCAGTAAAGTGAATATGCGTGAAAAAGTATATCTCATTGAAAAATATTTTACTTTGTATTATCGTAAAATAAAACAAATGTGAAATTAAATTGAGCTCTATGCAATGTGAATCATTAGGAAACAATTTCTTCGATGCAATTCTGTTTTTCTGTTTTTTTTTTTTTAATTTTGGATTAACTATGCCGAACGCGCAGACAGTGTAATTAATTTTCCGCCAATTAAAACGATTAAAGCAACAATCTTCAAAAATCAACACGACACTGCGACAAAGCGACGCGGAATTCCGTCTCTTTTCGAGAGTTCTAGCGCAATACTCGCGCTGAATTGATAATTAGGTAACGCGCGTGCGCGCGCGGAAGACAATTCAGGAAACCAGTCGGCGTACGTAACGGCGAACGTAATTGCCGGACATCGCGGCGGAGAATTTCGATTTTCTCTTTCTTTCTCGCACATATTCTCTTTTCTCGTTGAGGATTTGCATACTTTGCGTTTTGTATGCCATGCGCATGCGACTCACGCGCGACGACATTACGAAATCCGGCCGGAACACAATACTCGCGCGCGCGTTTTTTCCTCGAACGTTGTTATAAACGAGTTACGAGGCGAGTGCCCTCTACGAACGTTATTATGAGAGTTTCGTCTTTTCTCTCCTAGAATTCTCTCTGCACCTCTCTCCTTCATACGATGGTTTGGTGCTCTTTTGGCTCAGTGGACCTATAAAGCTAGTCCATACGCCATTCTGTGTCTTTTTGATAACAGGTTTAAAACCGTGGATTGGGTTCTCCTGATGCCAAGCCACGGAGTTGTATATTTGTTTAATTGTTATTGACAATAATAAAGAAAGTGGTGTAAAACACCGACCGAATTGTCCAAAAATATTCACAGCGTAACTACGCACATCCAACCGATACGGCTGATGTAATCCAACTTCACCCTAACTATTGTTGATAAGAGGTCGCAGGAGTCTACTCCTTCATACAAATAAGGACTATTACACACAAAATGACATAGTTGCATATGCGCAACATAAAACTATATGGACCAATGAGCGTCTAGCATAAAGTCGCCATATCGATTTACATAAAACTATGCTAGATGGCCATTGGTCCTACGCCATGCACTCTATAGCCCCTTGCACAACGCGAAGGAATAGTGATAGCAATAAGCAATAGACACAGAATTCCAACTCGTCGGAAATTTTATCGCTATTGCTTATTCTGTTTTCTGATCTGCATTGATACATGTGTATTTTTGTATGATTAGATTCCGTTGTTCCTACCGTTATTTGTAAATATAAACTCTTTAAAACTGGTGTTATTTCTATCGCTATCGCTATTCCGTCCATTGTGCAAGGGGCTTATGTCATTTTGTGTGCCATAGCCCCATAGACGTAGGAATATATAGACTGCGCGTTTGGCTGAGAAAAAATGTCTTTACGGTTGACAGAGACAACATGCTTTGAACAGTAACTCTCTCTCTCTCTCTGTCCATCAACGTCTGTGGTGGGATCAGGACCTACTATTTCATTCACACCGCCTAACCTGCCATTACCCCTTAATCTCTTTCATTCCTCTTCATCCCCACTATTTTTCCATCCCCACTTTTTCACTACTATTCTATCAATCAGCGAAGACTTCTTTTTCCCCCACTACTTTGCTAGACAAAGATGAGGTTACTGATCAACACCAGCTGTCTCTCTCAACGTTGAAGACATTTTCTTAACATGGTAAAGGTAGGGAACGCGCGGTATACATTCTATACATTCTACGTTAATGGATAGCCTTAAGGTTGTATTCAGGATAAGATAAAAGATATGCCAGATTATTCGAAATTTGCCAGTCAGTAGATAATATTAAAAAAAAGAAATTGTGCAAAATTTCAGCTCCTTTGTGAGCCTTGTTAAAAAGTTAGTACGATTTTAATTTAACACGAGTTCTTATGAGATTTCACGATATTCTGATATAAATTACAAAATAACTGTAGATGTAGATATAATTTCGAAACTTCTTGCAGTTGTTAAAAACAATTTCCACTCGAAAAAATAGTTTCAAGAATATCACATAAAATATAAATTTATATTTGCTAAAATATAAATTTATATTTTATAAATTTATATTTATAAATATAAATTAATATTTTGCTAAAATTAATAAAAATATATATTTAATATACATTAAACAATTATATTTGTAATTTTATACATCAATTGTCACGTTTTAATAACTTTTTATGATTAATACATTTCCAGTTTTTTATTTATCTTACGTTGCACGTAGGGTATAATTCTACTCAAAAATATCAAAAGTGAACATCAAAATGGCGCAAAATATATGTAAAAACTTTTCCGTAGTTATTAAAAGTATAATAAATAGTTTTTGTAACTTATTTTAGTACAAATAATACTTTTCCAGTAAACAATTATTATCTAAATATTAAAATAGGTTCGGTTTACGCTATGTGTTTCTTAAACTTTTGACTGAGATCTTACCCTGAATACAATCTTAAGCGCCCGAGATACCTACGCAATGCCGGAATGCCATTTTCTTTATTCGACCGCCTCTGCAATTTCTCCGACGTCATCTCGTAAATCAGCGCAATTAGCTACTTGTTTTCCAGACACAAATTATGAAAATTATATTAAAGAGACACTTTGTGTAGAGTTGATTTTCATCAATCTCTTGAGAATAATAACGTGTGTATGTACATAAATAAACAATTGATTACTTTAAAATCAAATGCAGAAATCCACACAACAGAAAAATAGACAGAAGTACAAACTGTCTCTATAAATATGAACATATTGTATGAATTAAAAATAAACCGAGAGATTTTGAAATAAGTTACAAAATTGATTTTAAAAATTAATTAGGGGGGTATACGGGGTCTCTCATATATGAGATGCAAAATTAGCACCCTATATGATTTTTAGGATCGAAATTTCAATCAAAAAAAAAAAAAAAAAACTCACGTGTAAGATTTACACGTGAACACGTATACATATGTGTATACATACATATGCACGAATATTACCGCAAAAACATTCAGCGAATGTCTCTTATTGACCGTATTTACATATACTTATTGCTTAAAAACGTCAGAGCCTTAAAGATTCTATCAATTGTTACAAAATTGAGTTGCCGTTCATTAAATTCGCTCTCGTTTTTACACTGTAAACAATTATATTGTCCAAATTGCAGCTTAATGACAGTTGAGAGAGTTAAGTCGATTCAGACTGTGAGAGTTTAAGCGTAACTACACCGAGACTAAGCAAGCTATATTCCCAGACGAGGGAGGAGACCAAAATTTATCGCGGATCCCACGGCTCGCAAATTTCGCCATAACATTGACACCGAGAGAGGATGCCGCTTGCGGACGGGGGAGTTATTAACCGATGCTGCACAAGCGCCCGCTAACGATACAAGAGCCAGCAAGTAGTTGCTGACTCGTGCTTTCACGCCTTCGATCAAAGCGTTTACGGCAATGAGGAGTGTGGAGGAGAAGGGTGGTCTCTCCTCGTGCGCGCACACACTCCGAAGAGAATAACTTGCCCGATGTATTAGTCGCCGCGACGCGACGTGCGGCAAGCATCGCTCGATCGGCGACGACGACGACGACGACGTCGAGCACGCTAAGCACGTTGATTAATCCACTTTGGAACTTGTCAAACTGTTTTCCTCCCTGTACGACTGCTTGTCAACGTGATATCATTGCTTCCGGCCGTTCTAACGCCGTTGTTTAAAACATACTCGTGACGTGTGTCATGTTATATCCTTCATATCTTTCGTATATTCAATTTATCTCCTAGTGCGGTTTACCAAAGAGTAATAAGGTCGTATGTATCTATTACATAACTCTTGCTGTGTAATTTTTTTTTCTTTTTCCAGATAAAGTTGGTTGACAAGCTTTTTTCGTGTATACTTTTATAACGTCCGCGTAAATTATTTGTGATACGATAAAAAAAATCTACATATTTTCTCACATCTAGATATTATTTAGAAAATAAACCTCGCGATTTTATGATTTCTCTATAAAAGAATGTTTCTTTTGTGCAGGTGCAGCTGCTGTAGTAACGTCCGCGGGCGGGCACGGCTTCGACGCGCACTTACGCGGTCCCAGTTTTATGCAGGAGCCGCCGTCGAGGATCGAGTTCTCGAATTCAAGCGGCGCCTGGTTGGACTGCACGGCTTCCGGAAGTCCGCCGCCCAATATCGACTGGTCCACTGCGGACGGGCATCCGGTGAACGATGTGTCCGGCGTACGGAGAGTGCTCAGAAATGGTACTCTGGTGCTGTTGCCGTTTCCGGCCGCGGCCTATCGGCAGGATGTTCATAGCGCCGCGTACAGATGCGTGGCGAGCAACTCGGTCGGTCGAGTGCTCAGCCGCGACGTGCAAGTCAGAGCAGGTGTGTGTTTGCGTGTCAATTAATCTTGTACAATTAATTCAGATTCATCAAAGATATTGTCGAGTTGCAAATTGTCCCGATACGCGAAATAACGTAACTAACCCACGACTAGGATAAATTAATTATTTATAATTATTCGAAATTAATAATTACAAGTTTTATAACGTCGCTTTGATATAATTGCAACAAAATGGAGACTAGGTAGGTTAATAATATATTTCATGAAGCAAAATTGTTACCGCAATTCCATTTTAATTCGTATTTGTCGCGCAAGTCTCATAATCGTCAAACGTCAAGCGAAGCGCTTTATCGTCTTGTCGCGGAGTCGTTTGCGAGATAACGTTATTTACGCGCGACGGACGCCGTTATTGGCGCGCTCGTGGATGCGCCGACCGCCCGCGCAATTACATTCGTTATTTACCGAGGTATCCTTTAATTAAGGAACGACAAACATACGTAATCGGAAGGGCCGTCATATTAAAGTTTCGCCCGACAGTGGACGCGCGCAACGGACCATTGGAAAAGTCTATTAAGCGGATTACGTGAATGCCGTGGATATTTGGCGCGAGTCAACAGTAATTGCGCGACGAGCGCGGGAGGGCTTGTCTCCCGCGTGCGATAAAACGCGAAATAGTGAACAAGCCGGTTACACACGGACCATAATCAGACCGCGAATGTTCGAATGCAATCAGCAGTCGCGAAATATTACAATATAGATCTGTAGAAATAGATTTGTCTCGTATTTGTATGTTCATTTAAGAAATAACTGTGCGACGACACAAAGTTTCAATGAAATATTGAAATATATATTGTATTGTTAAAAAACAGCGAAATAATTTTCCGACCAGTTTTTCTTGTTTTTTACAATCTAGGATATCAATCGTAGATTGATATCTTTGTTTTTTGTGTAAAATTGGAAAATATTCCAAAAAAATACAAACTTCTAAAACTATTCAGAGATACTTTTACATTTCTTGTAAAATATGTTGTTAGAGCACCGAACGCGCGATGGTTATTGCAAGTCTTAACGAATGGGCTATTATCGCGTAATGGTTTTTTTAGCCGATCAAAACTGATATTTCCCATAGTCATATTGTTGTTTTTTTTTCTTTTTTTTCTTTTTTTTTTTTTTTGTTCAACGCAGCTGCGTTTTAGTACTTCACTTTCTAGCAAGAAATACCCATCTCTAAACTCTAAATGATAGCTTTCACGCGCCAATGCAATCGAATTGTTCGTGCGGAAAGAAAATGTCGGTTACGAGAGTACGAAACCTCGCGACCAATGTGAAACAAGCACTAGAGAGCTCAAACGAGACTACGCCGACCGATGCAGATGAGGTGCGCGCAGATTCTCTCCCGGTCGTGCAGTGTAATTACCTCTTTAAAAAAAAGCGCAATCTGAATGCAAATCCATGGCAGCTGCGAGGTCGAGCCAGCGCGCTTTCAGGATTTTCAGCCCCTACTAACCCCCTCGCGGCCATAAAGTTCTGGCCTGGACGTGTGACCGTTAATTAAAACTTTACTTCCTGCTTTTGGTTTAACGAAAGAAATTTCTGTACCGCGCCGTGCTCGATGAAGCGGACGTGCTTCTCGTGGCCAATTTCAGGCTAAAGTCGCGAACACGTTTGTGAGAACACGTTTTGAGCACAAAAGAGTTGAAAAAGTTCGTAATATAATCTCTCAAAAATATGTGTGCAAGGTGATATGTGTAATACCATCGAGGAGAAAAAGTCACGTGTGCACGTGTAAGTGTTTTACTTATTTTTATTTATCTAAATATATATATATATATTTCATTTTACACAGAAATTTTTTTTCAAAAAATTCTCTCGAGTGTTGTTATCAAACGGGGGGTTTTTCTTTTTTTCGATCGCGTCGCAAAACGCACAGCGAAACGGAACGACGACATGCGAGCGGAAACACGCCGAAGAAGCGGGAAATCAGGAAGCGGAAAAGAAGAAAAACGCTAGACAAAGTCCTCACGATGTGATCCTGAATGTTTCTCCAACATGGTGGTGCTACGCCAAGAAATTCAGAACCCGGTCTCTGCGTCGCGGCGTCGCCGACGTTAACCCGTGTCAGACAGCGCCGTCGGTGGTGAAGCTGGCCGTCGCTCTTGGAATTTCCACGTAAATAAAATCTCCGGAAGAGCGCGGTGCCTCTCGAGCGCGAAAGGGTGACGACGGACGCGAAAAGGAAAGAAGGAAATGATAGGAGAAAAAGAGAGGGAGAAGAGGAGAAGGGAATGGGAGAGAAGCAGACAAGCTGAGGACGACGCCGAGGCGTTCGTTATACGCTCACGTCGCCTCACGCCTCGGCGCATCCCCGACGCCGGTCGACGTCGAGATTCATCCCCCCGATGGTTGCGGCGTAACGACGTGTGCAATGCCTTGTGTGTATATACATAGTGTCGTACATCGTATATACACGAGGCAACGCGCTTTCACGCTGGTAGCAAGACGGCGAGCGTTGTAATTGAAAACGAGACTGTCGGAGTAACTGCGATTGCTTTTTCATTACGGTGGCAATTAGAGACACAGGCACATAGAAAACCCCGTTCGCTGTCTGCCTTCTCGACTATCGCGTTAGTTCAATGTGATGGCGACGTGTGATTTTTGTTTTTTTTTTTGCAACACCTAACTTCTTTTTAATAAAAAAAGACATGTGAGATATAATAATTAGCTCTCTGTGTAGTGCGCGCGCGTGTGTAAAAAGTAAAATTATAATTGAAACACACGAGACTCAGCTATAAACATCTTTGTTATATTAATTAATAGTAATTATCATAAGCTTCATGTAACTATATTTTTATAAGATATTAATGTTTTTTTTTATTCTTATTTACAACAATATTGAACGAACATTTATAAGAGAAAGAGAATGAAAGAAGAAGTCGGTGTTTTACGATTTGTGCACGTTTACTGAAACACGTGGCTTATGCGATATTTTATTGCTGTTTCGCAGTGGTGGCTCAGGCGTATAAAGTCGATGTGGAGGTGACGGGGGGTGCATCAAGGGGATGCACTGCAATATTACGATGCATCATACCCAGCTACGTCAAAGATTTGGTGCGGGTCGTATCCTGGCTACACGAGCCTTCATCCTACATATATCCTTCGCTACAAGGAGGTAAATGCTCTTTTGTTGCGAGAATCTACTTACACATTACACAAGTATTACAGGTACTTAATTCATAGTATAATACAAGACACACACAAAATTTGACGTGCATCGCGGTGTATATAAAAAGCTTTAAATCACAAAGAACATTAACCAGAACCGTTCAAATACGAATGTTTCACGTCTATATGTAGATTTTTCTCGCGACGTAAATCATTTCACATGAAAAAAAAAAAAACTATATATTTGTAAGAGAATAAATCTTTGCGGTTGCGCAAAAAGAGATGTACGTACATATGTAAAGATTAATCCGCACTGCGAGGATAAAACGGCGAAAAGCATGTACTGCAATTATCTTTCATGTTGCGAACACACGACAACATATTTCTACAACAGAGGCTTTCGATGAGAATTCTCTCTCTGTTTTGCGGATCTTTTAATATAATTAAATTTCACGGAACAACTCTGTTTCAGAATTAATTTCTTGTGTTACTTATAATTTTAATATTATTTCTCTGCATCTCTGTTTGACATTTCTCTTTCTTTCTTTTGTAATTATTATATATCAATATTCTTGATTAATATTATTAAATATATTTGTGTACCTCATGTGTTTCAGGGTAATTTTTAATTCTTTCACTACTGCAGACACATATATGTGTTTGATATTTATTATCGGTACTTATCATGTATTTTTTATATTAATAACGCAAATATATATATATTTGCGTAATATATATATATATATATATATATATATATATATATATATATATATATATATAATTCAGTATTTCGACACAACTTGTATACTTTCTACAAAACTTTTTATACTTTGCGCAATATAAGCGAAATATAAAAGCAAAAGTTGCGCCGTCTGTCACGCGCGTCCCGCATTAGACTTGTGCCGCAGCGAAAGGGTTAATTTCACACAAATATATCTAAATGCTTGAAACTTATGAAAAAAAAAAAAAAAAAATGAATTTATAGACGTCAAGTCTATAGAGATGTTGATACGAAGTTGGGATACACATAAGTATATTCCGGACAAAATTTCACAGATTGTGATAACGATAGCAATGGAAAAGAAAACAAATTATACGACGGGGCGATTTTCGAGAGATGCACGCAGCGTGCTATGTGTGTGCTCACACTCGGGTTCTGCTGCGTCCATTGCTTACGAGAACTAAAATTTAATATCCGTCGCGGACGCCCGGTTGAAATTTAATATCCACAATAATGCGGCGTCTCCTTCCCGTAGTTCGCGGGACGGGGAGGATTGTCGGGGACGCCGACCTCGCTGAGAGCATCGGTTCATTAGTAGCTCGCGCAGAAATTAATCAGATTTGCTGTAAACGTCGGGGGAACCCGTTTCGCAGTAGAAAATTGCGCGCACAAAACCGTGACAGAGAAAGCGTTTTTATACATACATGTTAATTAAACATACTACGTTTTTGCGTTCGGTGATTTGATTAGCGGTCGTAATTGGTAGTCACCAAATTAGAACGCTAGTTTATATAATAATAAAAAAGACCGTGCTATAAATCTGTGTGCCCATTGTGTGATTTAAACTTGATTTATTTGTTAAAACATACAAAAATACTCTGATATTACAATTTAGAATTGCTTTCGGGTTTTTTATTGAAATTTAAATATTGCTCGTTAGTGTAACACAAAAACCTATAGTTGTTTTTTTACACAGCTTTATTTTATAGAAGGAGATAAAATCCTAGGTTTTTTGTAAAAAAAAAAAAAAAAAAAAAAAAAACTGAACTCCGTAAATTAAACGTAATTAATTATGCTATGCTGATAATGTAGATGAAGGTGTTTTAGAAATGCAGTCTTCTTGAGTGTAAAATTTCTTCGAGTCCTAGATGAGGTGATAGATCTGCCTACAAATGTCGAGTTGGAATACACTGATATATCGAATATTATATACAAAACACAAATTACTCACAGGTAAAGATCTACGGTCGCACATCGAACAAGACGGGAAGACAACCGGTTTATATACACATGGATCCCCACTCACTTAGAAAAGTCATACGATAAAGGCGTTACGTTCGAGTCATTGAAGATGACTCAAGTAAAGAGTTGAAACGTTTGTTGTACGAGTTACTAATGTAATAGTTCTTTTTGATAATTATATATATATTTTTTTCTAACACCTATTTCTGCTCGTTTATGATCTTACTTGGATTCATTACTTATTTTTATATTACGAGCGAGAATAATTTCTTTTTGATATTTCCGTAAATTATATTTACAGTAAAAATGAGATTTTATACGTTAAAACTTATATCTGTTGTTTTATAAGTACGTTATATACAATCATGTTAACGTGTCAGACAGTTTTTCTCACGTCGTATCTGCCATCGCGATTGTTGTCGGCATCAGTTATAGAGCATAATTCGCTGCATGTATGTACATACATAGGGCTCGATTCATGTGCACGCAACGTGCATACACGTATATATATACGTGATACGATATACATATATATATATATATATATATGTACGTGTCCCATCTATGGTGAATGAGAACCAGCTATAGGCTCTGTCGAACGTAATATCTAAACTACATAGACCATTCGGTTCACCTGACTTGGCGGACAATCTATTCGGAAGGACTGCCTTATCGCAGTAACCGCTCTTAGGTGCTGTAAAGTCTCGCGGACAAACTCACTCGGCTCATGTATGTACTGCAGCCACTGTACATCACGGCGCGAAACTACACTATAATAGAGTTATGTACAAAAATATTTCTATGCGCGAACGTAAAACCATTTTGTTGCTTTGGTTAAAAAAAAAGATATGAATGTTTACGTTACGTAACTAACTTTTGTGTTTTGCTTGTTTTACCATTAATGAAAAAATATTTTGTGTAAACATGATATCGGTTTCTCTGTCAAATTAAAGTTAAAGCTTTTTCCTCGCATTAAAAGCTTCAATTTTTCATATTCAAGTAAAAATATTCCGAAATTCTTTGAATTATCAAAATTCAATATCTCCAAAGTATAATATTATAAAAAATATTATATTAATACAAATTGCAAACTAAACATTGTGTTAAGTATATTTGCTACACTTAAAACAATATTAAATTGTTTTTTTCAATTTTCTCTAACAATCTATTTCTTTCTTCGGTCAAATTTTATGTTTTATAAATAGTCGATTATTAAAATATCTCAGCTGCAATGTAACTTCCTGACAAAAACAAAAATTCAAAAATTTTGCGAAAATATAAATTTAAATTTCCGTTTTTAAACAATTGTATTGCATATCAAAAGAATATATAACTTTTATATTTATCAAATATACAATATTCATGCTTATATATCGCACCTGTATGGGCACGACGTAAGTCGCATACGAAATAATGGTGTCTCGAAGAAGCACGTAGCGCGCGATCTAATCGCGGATTTGTACCCGGAAAAGACTCAAATGTCTCGAGCGGGTTTCGCAACTATTTAGTATAATTGTGGTCGTTAAACGTAGTAGTCGGGCTTATCTAAAGGAAACCAGGAGCTTAATGCCGAGCGGGAAGAGATGGTATAACCCTACGTCACGTAGATCGGACAAGGGTGGGACCGCGGAATTAGCGTAATTATTGTGCAGGCGGGAACACAGCCACTCCCCGAAAATATCGTAATCCGAAAGGGCGCGGCGGTATTGCGCTCTCGTTAAAGATAACCGACATCCGGTTTATTGGAAGAAACATTGATCCCAATTATTGTCTTCGTCCATACAATATGAATAACATCGCGGGATTAAGAGAGAAGTTGTGTATTATTCATGCAATCTGAACAGAACTTTTTATTCGAACCGTCTCGTGAGTTCTACGATCGATTGCGCCACGGAACGAGTATATCTCAATAACAAATATAACGAAAATAAATAAAAAAGATTAACATAAATTGTAAATCAATATAAAATAGAAGAGTTAAACATAAATTTTACATCAATATAAAATAAACAAATTAACAATAATTATAAATAAATCCGATTGTAATGCACAAAAATCTTATTTCTGTAAAATATATCCGCGAGTACTTTCCTGTTTGCTTCTTTGTGGTTTGCAAACATTTACTAGAAAACTGTTTTTCAAAATTTCAGATTACATAAATATAAATATAAGATATAAATATAATAAATATTAAATAAATATAATAAATATACAAGATTAAATAAATATAAGTTTTGAAAAAGAGAAGAGACAGAAGAGAAATAAAGAAACGTACACTTTACTATCACATAGATTTTCTAGAGGACATCTGTAACACACTGACTATTACGTACAACTTTCTATACGATATACGTTTGGTATTTCACGACAGTTCTCGATCGCTACATTTTCTAGACGGCAAGTTCCACCTGCTTCCCACGGGAGAGCTTCTAGTGCACAGTCTTGAGTTCAGCGACCAGCTGAACGGCTACAGATGCCGCACGATGCACCGTCTCACGAGACAAGTGGTCGTTAGTTCTATGGCCAACATTAGGATAGCAGGTGAGTCGTGGTAACGCCACTAAGTTTTTGAACAAAACTACTATTTCCGTGCACCGCGCCGGAAAACGCTGATTGTGACAACGCCCGAGTTTTTTTTCCACATTTTGTTTTACAGATCATAGAGGCGTAATGCCTCCCGTTATACTTGAAAATTCCGGCGTCGTTCACGTCGCTCAGGATGAATCGACGTCGTTAGTCTGCGTGGCGCAGGCTTGTCCCTCGCCTGAATACCGGTAAGCGTTTGTATGCGCGATAATCCACTATATGCATGCACCTCAAGAGAGAACATTGCTGTTGCTTGAGCATTATTATTGTGCTCAAAATTTGTCTCTAAATTTCGGCTGTAATTTTTACATAAGTCTTTATTCAGCGCGCATTTAAATTATCAAATATTTTGTGTAAAATAAAATTGCCAACAAAGAAAAAATATCGAGAAAATATTAAAAAGTTTTTTTTTCTATCACTTTCTAATTTTTATTTATATGCTGAACTCTTTTATCATGTCAAAAATTAAGAGAAATATTATTCTTCTGGTTTTTAAATATTACAAAGAAAACTTGATTTAACGTTTATCAATGATGTGCGTACTATGCGTGCGTAAGGGCAGGTCAGTGAGCGTAACGTTCCGGAAGCTTGCGCGTAGGGATAGGTCAGTCACACGCCGCGAGCAGCGTGCACACGATCAGCTGATTGCTCTACACTCTCGACCGATTAAATACGAGCAGCTTTAATTTTGTCAATACAATCATCTTCAATACACTCGCTGATATTATTTAGATTTTCTGTAATATATATCGCAACATTTAAAACAAGTATATTAGAAAATGTTAGTATTTCTCTTTGAGTAAAATGTGCTGTGAATTAATTGCTTTTTAGACCGAAAATAAATCGAAATTCTAAAATATTACTTTGGATTATTTTAATTAGACTATTGTAAAAACAGCTTTCATCAAATATACATACAGAGAAGAGAATTGGAATCACTTTAAATAATAGAAAAAAACATCAAATAACTAAAATGAAAAAAACATAATTAAATTTACGATATTATTTACTGCAAATTGTATATATAAAACGTATATTACATATTTTACCACTTATCTCTCTTTCATTTATTTTATTATTACATCCAGAATACTACGATTATAACTTTGCATTCAAGTATGATGCATTGTGACTAGACAGATAATTTTGTGATAGAGATCTTTTTACAATATATATAACGCGAAACTAAAATTTTAATTGCGAATAAGTCGATTCTGTTACAAAATGATTCGTACTTATGTGTGTGTGTGTGTATGTGTGTGTGTGTACACAACACAAAATGATTTTCGAAATGATTCTGTATATTTATAATAAAAAAAAACTGTCACTGCAATTTTCAAAGATATCAACTTTCTAACATTCTAAACTAATTCAAAAATGAAAACATTTTAACATTTTTGAACAGAGATTTATTTTTTTTTACACGAAATAAAACATTTCTTTAAACAAAAGAACCGTTCAAATTCTCGGAAACTTCAAACTCTCGTTCGATCGATTAAATATTTGGAACTTTGCATCTTGTTTGTTCGCTTAATAGACTGAACAAGATTTGCAACAATATAACCCATTTGTTCATGCAAATAACAAAAGAATTATACTCTCATCAGTTAGTGTTGCATCACAACCGCTGCATCCAAGCTCGAACGATCTTCGATATAGATTCTACTCACGCAGAGTATTTATTCACGCGAACACGAATCGATTGGAAAATTATAACTAATTACTATCGCGCTCACTAATTAACACGATAGGCCCGATCGTTGATCGCTTCATTGATCACTTCCGACACGTATCTATAAGCGCCGAATCTCGAAACGCTAATTACCGTCATCCCGTCTCTACATAACGACGAATCAAAGTGGGATACGACTCGATATATTTGATTCCAAATAGTGGAATACTCTCGATACTCCCGTATTTTTTAACACTGTTGATTGTTTTGTTATCTTATTGATTTATTATGCGAAAAATCTGTTTTTAATTTTTGCACTGCTGTCACACTTACAAAAGTCATTAAGTATTTGGCACTGCTAACGTTCAAATTATGCAAAGTAACACGTCATCTTGTGAGAAGCTCCATAAATGTTCATCGTTTTAGCGACTCGCAGAGTTTCGTATAACGTAAATGTAACAAGAGAAAAACAGTACTTTGCTCGCTTTTCTATTATAGAGTAATCTCGCAGAAAGTGAAGAGAGAGAGAGAGAGAGAGATCGCTGTTACTCGCGCGTTGGGAACAGATTTATTCGCGACTATTGCTGTGTGTGTGTGTGTGTTTTTGTGTGTGTGCGCGCCTCGAGCAAAGTGAGAAAGAAAAGACACGCGCCGCTCTCTAGCCGTTCACTTGTCTCTCGAACATTTCGTACGGGATGACATAAAGACGAACGCGAGTGTCTTTGTGCGCCGGAAATCGACATTCGAGGGACGAGCAAACGCGCGCGAGCCTATCGTTTTGTACGCGAGATGCTCTTTTGAGGCATTTCGCGGCTTCTTCATCGGACAAAGAAGAGAGAATACAAGCACGGAGGATCTCAATCCTTTCCGGGGATTAAAGAATCCTCCCTCTTTTCGTTTGTTCCTGCAAAATTACGATCAAGTCCCAAGAGGACGGAAGAGAAAGAGAACGGATGACATTCGACGAGAAATGGAGTAGGAAACAAGCGAAGACGAACTCCGATCTCAAGAGGAAAACGAGAAAGAGGTGGAAAAGAGAAAGCATGATGTTGATCGGAAAATGTAGGAGCACTCGATCGTAGAAAGCCTCGTGAGAGGGTAGTACAATCGGAAGCTCTCCATGTCGCTTGGTTCAAGGAAGAGAAAAAGAGAGAAATAGAGAGAAGAACACAGAAGAGATTCGCTTTTGCCAGTTCGCGCGACTCGGCGTTTTCTGTCGAACTGAGTTTTCCCGCCTTTCCACCACGCCGCTACAATCGAACGTACTTTATCTTTTGTCACTTTGCATAGAACGAAAAATTTGACAAACGATCTTTTCGCCCGTCTACGTATTCTTGTACGATGCCCGCGATAAGTCGCTACATACCCGCGCGCATTTGATATGTTATCGCTCTTGGATCTTCGGGAAAAATTATTTGCATTATTTGTGGCACGGAACAAAACACACAGTTTGAGAAGATTTTACAATTCGTGTAGGAAGTGATTTGTGAAAGACAAAGACAAAGCAAAAAGTGAGAGATAAAAAATTTATGCTATTAAACTCCGCAAATAGAATTTTAATTAAAAAAAAAAAAGAAGAAGAAGCGCATACCTCCGGAAAAAAATATCCCAGAAAAAAGAAAAACTAAAAAGATATGTTAAAGCAATCTGCATTTTTAAATGCGGAATGAAAAAGACACTTTCTTTTCTGTCTTTTTCTGCTCTTCCGAGACCGTTCCGGATATAGCCCGGCAAATACTCGGAGGAATGAAAATTTATTGGCAATACCGCGCGCAACACAAACGGGCAGAGTCGCCGGGCGCTGCGTAGCTATCTCTCTCTCTCTCTCTCTCTTTCTCTCTCTCTCTTTCTCTCTTTTTCTCTTCTATGAAAAATACATTCGCGTAATATGTTTCAAGTCGGCTGCCTCTGCGACGCGCGGTCGATTGTCTCGTGGGACATGGAACGCGTGTATCGCGCCGCTGCGGCGATTCCGCTCGTGAAATACTACCGCGTTATTAAGACTCGGCACGTACCGGGGGCTCCGCCCCGAGAGGAATGCATTATGCGAATTTATATGCGCGCGTATATACAGGCGCGTCGTAAATTTGTCGCGAGATATATGCAACGCCGATATATCCGGGCGCGTCGATATATCGCGCGGAATAACAGCCGGCTGCGCCTCACAATATGCGATAGGCGACCCACCGATCGAAAACATCGGACAAATCGCACGGATAAGATTCCTTTGGTCTGTTTCTCACACACACACTCTCTCTCTCTCTCTTTCGAAAAACTCTCCCACGGAATTTATTGAATTTCCTTGGACACCGCGCAACTTTTAAGTACTTTTACGACACGCCGTAGTGCGCTTCCCAACTTTTTCGTCTTTTAACGACTCGGGCGATTCAAGTCTCATCGGCGAACTTCTCGACTGAATCTTTCACGCGACATTCAGAACGTTCAGATAGTGATTTCATTTAGTCGAACGTTACAGAGTCTTAACAAGATACTAAAAATAGCTTTAGATTTTTATTTTAAGTCTCTTTTTGTGGAATTAATTCCGGCTTTGCATAATTCATATTGATCGCAACAATTTTTCATAAGATACACCTACGGTATTGTTGAATTTTTCCATCTCAAGTTAGACGAGAAAAATTCACCAACCGATCAAAGATGAGTGTGGGAGAGGCAAGAGAAACCTTCTTACGTCTTCGAACGATCCAAAGTCCGAACGCGTGCCACGATCGGGAACTGTCACTTCAGAAAGAGACAGCAAGAAGATCCCGAAGATAAACGCTATTGGATGTCGAGTCGACATCGTTTTCTAGGTCGACGTATCCAAAAAGTCAGCGAAATTAAACCGCTTCTCTCTCTTTCTCTCTCTTATGGCTTCTCCACTGTCTCTTTGTTGTATTCAATCTCTGTCTTTTGATAAAAAATATTCTTTATATCATCAACAAAGCAGAGCGCAGAATCAGAAGAACAAAGTAAGAGAGAAGAAGAAAGAGAAAGTTATTTAGAGAGTGTATCAATTGCATTGTGTCTCATTGTGTGAACAATTGAAATCTGATCGCGTTGCAATTGCGCTTCGTCGAAAATGCAGCAAGCTTGGCAAACAGAGCGATAGAACAAAAGCGTTGTAATAGAAATTATGTAGAAAAATAACAATATATATAATAACAATAAATCGATTTTTAACTGTTTGTTTTTAATTGTTTCCGGCACAATACTTGTATTATAATGATGTATAATTGCGATATATATATTTTTTCTCTTTTATTATTTCTTTCGTAACTGACATGTTTTGTAATTATTGTTTTCTCGTAGATTTATAAATTCTTGAACAGCCTCTAAGCGTTACGTTGATAAATGTTATTACGTTAAAAGCATTTTCCATTTGCAGGTGGTACGCGCAAACAGGTGCAGAACCGATGCTCGTACTATCCGGACCCAGAACCAGACTGCTCGGTTCTGTACTAGCCATTGAGGCAGTAACGTTGGAGGATAGTGGCGTGTATCGTTGTTCTGTTTCGAATTCTGGTGGCGAAACAAGCGCTGAAATCAGGTAAAAGCTGGATACGCATTTAGCGGATCAACAATGAACGTACAACATATATAAATTGGCCGAACAGATCAATGCGATTGATCAATTCCGCGTTATTTATTCGTTATTCGTTCGCTCAGCATACATTCAGCTTCAGTACAAATCAATAATTAAAACCAATTGCTTTAAATTTAATTTTTATGATTATTGTTATCGACACAAACATATATTTCAAAAAACATAGACATTCAAAAAATATAATTCTTTTTTGTTTTCAAATTGTTTTGTTTTTCAACTATATCGCGTGTTTTATTTAAAAAAAAAAAACGTCATGTTACATCATATTGTCAACGTGTCGTTTGATGCTGTCTGAGTTAAACGTGCGTGACGCAACATCGATATTTTTATTGTAACGTCAGGTTAATCGTGACAGCGCCTCTTCACGTGGAAGTAACGCCACCTTTACTCAGCGTTCACTTAGGAGGTAACGCCGAGTTCAGATGCGAAGTCGGCACGCATCCGCAGGCCGGACCTCACTTTATCACGTGGTACAAAGACGGCCGACAACTTCCAGGAACAGGAAGGCAATCGGAATTGTTGAAGCTCAACGGGATCGGAAGGGAGGATCGTGGCATGTATCAGTGCATTGTAAGAAGATCAGAAGGCGATACGGCTCAGGCATCGGCGGAACTTCAACTAGGTGGTACGTATATAATACAAAATATAAGATTTTAGAATAACTTATAAAAAATTTATAGGTACACAAATATTCAGCACAAATTTTTAAGTTTTATATATTTAAACAATATAAGGGCTGCGAATGTTTATGGAAGTTCCAAAGTCAAATTTTACTAACTTTATATTAGGATTTTTTCCGAGTTTTACTATCATTTTTATCCGTTGAAAAATAAACCACGTTGAGTCTTCAAAATTAATTCGAGTGAAAACTCGAATTTTTGCAAACTATCCAAGTTGCATAAATAAACCAGTTCTCGTTTGATCACTGAAGTGTCTAGCGACGTGAACATCAGCCCGACAGGAATGGTTTATCCATAAAAGACAGCTGTCCATTATTTGCGGATTAAAAAATGCAAAAAATATGATATTTGAAAACCGAACCGGGTTTTGTATGAAATTGATCGCGTATCCAATTTATGTTTCAATTATTTATCATAATAAAACAATGTATATTTAAACGGGAGATAAATAAGTCAATCAAATTAAATAATTTTAAATTTACAAATTTTGTAATTGTAACAATATAAACATCTCTCGATTTTTTCGAACCTTGTTTTAGCAAAAATTAAATAAACAAAATTGAAACTGTACTCGTCGTACACTTTACTTTTACACACACACAATATAACAAGAATGATGCGTCACTCGCCGTCATATTTCGTCGATGAAATACGCTGTTAACAGGGTTGCAAGTAAAGCCGCTTTACTGCTGCACGCAGAAAGTAACAGCGTTTCGATCACGAATATCATATCATTCCCGAAGATCCTGTATAATAACAGAGACGTCTAGTACGGTGGCCCGATCTTCTTGCGCCAGGATATTGACCCGCTTCTCTTCAGCCTTCTTCTTCCCTCACTCTCTCACTCTCTCTCTCTCTCTCTCTCTCTCCCGTTCTCACGTCATCCTCGAAAGGCGACGTCAAAGGTGTTTCAGCGAGAGGGAAGACACCGTACCGATCGACAGCCCGCGTTATACTACCTATCGAATTACACAGAACTCGATTACTTGGCAAAGAGGCGGCAGCATGCCGAGCTGCCGGTCGAGAGACGGGCATCACTTTGAAGTGGAAAAGATCTTCTTTTACAGCGCTTTACCTCGTTTCGCAACTGTGCGCCTCGCCGCCGACGTCCTTCCCGCAGCAGTTCTCTCTTGCCCTTTTTCGCCTCTCCTGTCTCGAGATCGTTAATAACAAATTTCTCAATCAGTTCAGAAGCCGCTTTTTTGTTCGGCAAAAAATTTCATATAACTTTAATTAGGAACATATTTAACGTTGGAGATTAAAATTAAAAAAGGGTTTGATAAATGAAACTTTTATCAACGTCGGGCAGCGAAATTCTGTTGGACTCCGAGTGGACCGTGCTTCACAGCGAGAGATTTAATTTGGAGTTTTGCTTCCGGAATATTCAAACGTAAAAAAAAAAGTCTAAAAAAAAAAAAAAAAACAACATTTGCCAGCAGCGCAGCTTGTCATAAAATATTCGTGAATCATTAAAAATTTGTGAAGAAACTATCGTTAATAGTTAACGTGCCGCAGAAAACCGGACACACTCTGTATATGTAGACTAAACCGTACGGGGGGGATGTGAAGACGACCGGCAGAGTGGAGAAGGGTCTTTGAAACAACAATGAAGTTAGCGTCTCTCGCTCGTCAGCGTCAGTAATGCACGGGATTTACGTCAAAGAGAATTTGAGGGAGTGAACGCCGTCGGCAGGGACATCCCGACGGGCGCGAGCGAGACAAAGCGATTGCCGATGCAATTTCGCGAGTACGACGACGAGGAGAAAAACGGCCCGACGTGGCCCAGCTGGTACGAAGCGAGTGCAGAAAAAGTTATTTCCGAGAGAGAAAGAGGAAAAAGGCAACAGAGAGAGAGAGAGAGAGAGAGAGAGAGAGAGAGAGAGAGAGAGAGAGAAAGAGTATGACCGGTAAATTCCGCGAAATTCACAAACATCACTCATTCGTAAAATCTGCTCGGCGAGAGTAGCCAGCATGTGATTGATCGGCAATTACAGACTTTCTCGCGATTATCGAACAAACGCTTTATCGATTTAATCACTTTGCTTTGATTGCCGCTGTTTCGGAAATTCGGAAAAAAAAAAAAGATGACTTATTTGAAACAGAAATCAGCGACCGGTTTTCAAAAAATTGATATATTAGTATTTGATTAATTGGATAATTTAACTATCTATATAAGTGCGAGTCGTGCTGCTCGGTCAAGTTTTAGTACACTTTTTTCCTGTTCATTCTCCTTTGTATCAACGTAATAGACGCACATATATGAATTTCATACGGACATCGTGTATCGCTGCATAAAGCATTTCGCTCGCTACAATTGCAACCGTCGGAACGAAAGCGCGAAATTCTATGCAACGTAACAGAATAGAAGCCGCGCGGCGGCAGAAAAGTCATTTCCTCGAGCGCGAACAGAACTGCCAAATTACTCAAAAATGAATTCCTCGTTTTTCACATGCGAAACCCGGCTGCTCGCACTCACAGGACGTAGTTTTTCTCCCCAATTCGCGCGCGCGCGCGTTCATACTTTAATTTGCCGTTTTTTACATTGGTCTGTCAGAAATAGTTGCGACGGATGCCGAACACCGGAGATGAAAGTATGAATCCAATTACGTGATCGCATTTTATGGCTCTATATATATATATATATATAAAAAAATAAAATCCGAAATTTTACAGCGTAATTGTACACGTGTACAAGAAATATACGTGTATTGGTGTTATTGCAAATTTTTTTTTCGTCGCACTCTATTTGTCATCCGAATACGTGTACATCTACTTTGAAAGATATTGCAACGATGGATATTAATTGCAGGACGTACAATCAACGTAAAAGCGACGTGGATAACATTTCCATTGAATGAGAAACATCTTCTTCCAAGATATTGTAATGCCATGTTGGTCTCTCTCTCTCTCTCTCTCTTTTTCTCTCTTTTTCTCGTCATCATCGTCACTTAAAATTCCATTTCATCGACCGGAGATGGAAGAACCGCGATGTCGCGACTATGACTACAGCGCGCTGATGATCACCGGGAGGCATCGAGACGGGGATTCATCAATTTGCGCACGGCTTCGCGAGCACGAGGAGCACCGAGAGAAACCGACATTCATTCGGACTGACGAGATACCGCCTTCCTCGGAGGCAGCGGACCGGCATCCTCTTCTCGCGACGCGACAGCGGAGCTCTTTTTAATGATGCCAGAATCGACACTTTTAATTACGAGCGCGACCGGAATAATCAACGCGGTTGTTCGATCAATCTCGCGTTCTGTTTCTTGTGCCGCGACAAAATCCGCTGCGAACTGTTCTTCTCTCATTTTCGTTCGTGAATTTATCAGTCTTTTTTTTTTTCGATTTGCAACAGAAGTAACATTGACAGAAAAAAAAAAAAAAAAAAAAAGAGAAAATATCTGCACGCCTCTTCCGTGACGACGAGCTCATTGTCTCTCGTATTTCGCCCCTATGTGGGCGTGGCGATCCTTTCAGGATCAGGATATCGCTTTTGCCTTCTTCTTTCCGTGACTCTGCTCGTAACCCCCGTTGAACTCGCGTTTTATTGTCGGGCCGTAATACTCGCGCGCGGATTACATTCGGTAATCCACATTTTCATGACAGAAATAAATATAGATGTACGAGAATTACATTTAAGTTTTCCAATCTGGCATTCAGAGAGATTACATATCTATATCCATAAAAGGTTTGCACGACATATAAACACAAGAACACATTCACATATACATCTTTTTTTTTTTTTTATCTATAATTGTTGTCTATAGCGAGTGTAACTAGCAAAGATGTAGATTTATCAAATTTGCAAATTAATTGCAAATTAATTGCAAAGCGCGCGAATGTTTCTTTTTCATTTTTAACGATCACCCGCAGCAGGTGTTTTCGTGTTTTTAGCGCGATTTTGATTGATGATAACGGTTAGCAGCATAAATTTCTTCTCTCTCCGTCGCATAATTAAGCTCGTTTTACGCGTTAACGTTTCAGACGCTCCGCCCGTGCTTCTGTACTCGTTCATCGAACAGACCCTCCAGCCGGGACCCGCTGTATCCTTGAAGTGCTCCGCCGCGGGAAATCCTACACCTCAGGTATCATGGGCGTTGGACGGTTTTCCGTTACCAACTAATGGAAGGTAAGCTTGTGCTCCCAATTCTTCGTAATGATCTATATTTTTGCTGATATTTCGCGTGTCACTTGAGATTTTGTTATCCCGTATAATTCACCGACATAACTAATAGCATTGTCAAAAAAAAAAAAAAAAAGAAAAGAAACAAGAAGAAAAAAAGGAAAAAAAATATCGTTATTATTTTTTGTGACGTGATCTCGGCGTCGAATTATATCCGCTGTTGTGGTCGTGAACATATTGTTTCTTTATTTCTTTCTTATCTCATCGTGTTATATTGTATTGTATGATATAGAATTAAAGTTATTACGTCGTCACTCTCTACGTATAATCCCGTAACTCCAAAACGCAAATTTGAGAGAAGAGCGGTTTAAAAGTTTAAAGCTTCATATAGTTTCTCTAGTTAAGGGAGATCTTTCGGTTTTAAATTTTTACCTTACTTATGAATATTTTTTTTTTTTTTAATATTTGGCGGCCATAAAGACACTTTCTAAGTGTCGTTATGCAATAAACTGAAACTCCCGTGACACTTATGTAATTATACGTAGGGAGTGACGATGTAATAAAACTCGTGAAACACGAAATTCTAACGAGATCGTTTTTAAAGTAACGTAACGAAAGTTAAAGGCGCGAGAGATATTCTCTAAACGTCGCTTTACTATCATAATTGAACCGTATAATTTCTGATGACAGTGTCATTTGCGATCTTATAAATGCGCCGGCAATTCTTGCGCGCATATCTCGGAGGAGCAAGAAATTCTATTTATCGCGCGAACGCGCCGTGGCGTATATATATTGCCACGTGGAAAAGCGGTCACGTCAATGGACACGTACGAGCGTACTTTAACGACTGATCGGCATAAAGTATCCATCTATCTTTCGCCCGTTTTATTATCACCGGCTTTCCGCGCCGTCGCTCGTATATCCTCTATATACAATATATACCGCCCACTGTAGACGCCGTTGGACGCAGTTGGCTCGCGGCTACAGTTTCATCCTCGGCTGATCGAGATGGGACGTGACAAATTCTAAACGATAACGCGCGACGTCGTGGATTTGCCGCGTGAGATTCATGAGACCCTAGTATCAGCCAGTCCGTGCGCGCGCTCCGTCTAGCGCGTCCAGATCGATATAACAAATAGAAATGCGCGCGAAATGTTTCTTGTAAAACAAAAAAATCCATGTTGCTGTTCGCCATCTCCATTTTTATTGCGCGTTCGATTTTATTATTAACACGTAGTTTCGTAAATATTATTTATACTGTTGTGGATAAGAAACGGTCTTAGTAGAACAATCTGTTTGAAACGCGCGAAATATCACGCATAAAATTCATTTGTTTGTTTTCAAAAAGACGCTAATTACAATTATTGATTTAAAAAACACATACTTGTCGATTTTGTGACGCAAGATTCGTAATTGGTCAATATGTGACGGTGCACGGCGACGTCATTTCCCACGTGAACATAAGCCATGTTATGGTTGAGGACGGAGGCGAATATTCCTGCACGGCTGAAAATCGTGCGGGAAAAGTGACACATGCTGCGCGACTGAATGTTTACGGTGCGTATCTTCCGCGTCAATTGTTTTCCGTTTGTTTGCGTACATACGTTACAACACTAATTTTCCACATTAGGTTACGCTGTCACTTTGATTTTGAATTATTGATTGCGTGGCTCATTTTTTTTTTATTTTTAAGAACAACTAAATTTCACAAATAATGTACTCTAAAAAAATTATTATTCATAATCTCTGAAATAAAAAAATTCTGATACATACTACGATACGTTTAAAATTATTAATTATATAATTATATATGTATAGATTGCAAAGAGAAGATTTAGAAATTCCCGTGAAAAAATGGATTAGATCTAACTTAAATTTAACAAGATAAAAAAATGAAAAAATAGATCTGATTAGATACAAGTTAAATCTAAATAGATACAAAGTAGATCTAAATAAATATAAAGTAAATCTAAATAAATATAAAGTAGATCTATTAAATTTACAATTTTATAAATTATTAAAAATCTACTTTAGATCTACTCACAGATCTACTATATTAAAAACTACTCAGATTTACTTAGATTTGAGCAGATCTTAACAGATCTGAGGTGATCTAATATAATAGATCTGAGTAGATCAAGAGTAGATCTAATAATAAATAAAATTGTAAATTTCCATAGATTTACTTATATCTATTTAGATTTGCTTTGTATTTATTTAGAACTACTTTATATCTATTTAGATTTAATTTAGATCTAATTAGATCTATTTTTATATTTTTTTATCTCGTTAGATTTAAATTAGATCTAATCTATTTTTTCTCGGATTGTTTTATTACTTATTTCTGAAAAAGAAAAAAGTCGACACAGTAAAGCAATACATTTATTTATTAAAGAACTGAATCATGTTTCTTGTGCGATCGGTTCTTCTCAATATTGCAATAGAGCATAGTTTGTTTTCTTAAATTATCTCTCTCGGGAACCAATTTAAAGCAGAAAAATATGTAAACGAAGGAAACCGATTTTTCCCCCGCCCAGGCCTTCCGTACATACGTCTGATTCCTAAAGTGACTGCCGTCGCTGGCGAGACTCTCCGTTTGAAGTGTCCTGTGGCCGGATATCCGATCGAAGAGATCAAATGGGAAAGAGCGAATCGCGAGTTACCAGACGATCTGCGTCAGAAAGTACTTTCGGACGGCACGTTGGTTATCGAAAGCGTGCAAAAGAAGGGCGACGCCGGCGTGTACACGTGCTGGGCGAGAAACAAACAGGGTCACAGCGCCAGAAGATCCGGCGACGTCGCAGTGATCGGTAAGATCTCACTTCTCGGTTTCCTACGTTAACAAATTGTCGTAGGTAGACCGTGCCGAGGCGAGAAGAACGATCCGATGAACGAACGGACGTGTCGTGTGACAAGGCGAGATTACGCGAGAGATGGAAAAGAGACATAATTGAAGCACTCTGTGTCGAGCTAATCGATCAGAAGAAACGCCAACGAAAAATGAGGTCGCACAGAAGGACGTTATATATAAAAAAGGTGGTAGTAAAATTAATTTTCTAGGATTGTGTGAGCGCGAAACATTGGGAGGCCGAGACACACGCATCACATGAGACCACATGTTACCGATTGCCGTCTGTGTATCGTTTTGCGCTCACGAGCTGTCTCGTTGTTATTATTCCAGTTCCCCCCAAAATTAGCCCGTTCACCGCAGATCGCGACCTGCATCTCGGCGAGCGCACCACCCTCACGTGCTCCGTAACAAGGGGCGATCTGCCGTTGTCCATCACGTGGCTTAAGGACGGACGTTCGATGGGACCGTCGGAACGCGTCACTGTCACCAATATGGACCAGTTCAATAGCATACTGATGATTGAAAGTTTATCTCCAGATCACAACGGCAACTACTCGTGCGTGGCCCGTAACGTGGCCGCAGAGGTATCGCACACGCAGCGGCTTGTGGTTCATGGTAATCCTCCTCTAGGCCCTCTACAATTTGCCCGACGACCGCCTGACCGCCCGAGTTTTGCGTGGATGCGTGCGTGCGTGTGTGACACATATATATACGTTGCGTGAGTGCGAATCCACGTCGGAGCCGAGCTCGGAAACGGATCGCGCAGCTGGGATAATGGGAATTGCGACGAATCGCACAAATTTTAACGTTAGTTTTTTTTTTTTTTTTTTGTTCACATCCTGCTTGCGCAATATTAACCATCACATTAAAAATCTGTTTTTGTATGATTTTTAAAAGAATAAACGCGAAATTATTTGTATACGTTCCTAAGGCAATCCGTGACGAGATTTCCGCTCGACTTCTCGTCACCAAGAAACGTAGAGACTTGGTGACTTGTAATTAAAGATTGCTCACGCTTAGCGTGATTCTTCCTTATGCACGATACCCGCCCCACCACCCTATTCCACGTGTCCTCGAAGGGAAGTCGCACTTGGACTTCTCGAGAGCGACGCCGCGCGTTTCCTTCTTCATCAAAATTTCTTTCTCGCGTTACATTTCTCACTCTTGCAACGTTGTTTTGTCTCGCTCTGTTTTCGGAAACAATAAAAAAAAAAAAAAAAAAAAACTTACGTCGATACAATTTTGAAGTACAAAGTTCGCTTGAATTTGAATGTCTCGAAGGAAACAACGCGGTAAGACGAACGAATGCTCGCTCTTATGTTGGAAAGACTCGGATGCTGCAAGTGTGCGATGCAAATTTTAAGTGTACAAGGTGTGAGGGCGTCAGGGACAGGTTCGCGGCGGGGCCACCCTCTCTCTCCTCTACATTGCTACGTTACTATACTGCCTCTATTGTACATATATATTCTACATATATACATATTATATTCTATATATATATATTTATACATATACATGGACGTACTACTGTCTGTATGAAGCTGGAGAAACACGGAAAAGAAATGAAAAACAAAAAAATATATATATATGTATACACATATCATGACTGTAAACCTATATATATATATTTATGCATATATATATGAAAAGAACACATTACCTGGTATTACAAGGTTCTTACGTTTTTTGGTGCCATCTTTTTCTTGCTCTCACGTATGGTTCTCTCTTCTCTCTTGACCTTTTCCAGTACCCCCTATTATTGAGCCATTTACGTTCCAAGAGGGACTATCCGAGGGGATGCGGACGCGGACGGTGTGCGGGGTCGCGGCGGGAGATCCACCCTTAACCATATCCTGGCTAAAAGACGGCCAAAGTCCCTTTCCTTTGCCGCCGAATCTGGCCTCCGTTGCAAACGTCTCCCAACTGGATCCTTACTCGAGCCTTCTCAGTATAACGAACCTCGCGGCCGAGCACTCCGGCGACTATACCTGCGTCGCCGCGAACCCCGCCGCCGAGGTCAGGTACACGGCCAAGCTACAGGTAAAAGGTAACTAGATGATCGCCGACCTACTTCCTAGCGTTCCCAATAATTGCCCCGCCAACTCTCCGATCGTTTCACCCCGTTCTAAGTTAAAAATCTAAAATTTTTGCGATACTTTCTCTCTTTCTCTCTCTCTCTCTCTTTAAATGTATAAAAATTTTAATTCGCAACAATAATTTTTGTTATGTTTTTTTATCAATACAAATTTTGTTTTAATCTTTTATCTTTGAATATACAAGATAAATTTACAATGTTTTTCTAATGTTTTTTTTTTTATGTATAAAAGTAAAACTACTCGTTATTAATGTTCGCGATAATAAAATGTTTTAATGATGATGTAATAATATTTGATGATTTGCAACGTAGATATTTGCAACGACGTCTTGAGATATGTCGGGGTCAAACGTCATTCCCTGGACATCCACTCCACAGCCACTCTCTGTCATCCGATCTCATCCAGTCTCAGTTGCCATTTCATTTCATGCCATTGCCATTGACATATCATCGCGCTTATTGACTCGGTTCCCGCTTTACCATAATTCATTATAGCCCGTGTTCTCGCCAGGATGTGACATTTAGAGAGATCGTGATCCGCGTGTTCTATATTGGCTATTGGATCATAGGCCACGGCTTAAAGATGATATCACCGAAGTTCCGAGCGTGAACATACACCATGGGTTTCACTACCGGGCGAGATCACGATCTTTACCAAAATTTTTACCAAAATGTTTCCCGTCTCTCCTTTCACGTTGTTCCCGTTGTATCGTCGTGTCCGAAACTCCACACATCCGAGATTTCCTCTTACCTCCCCCCCCCCACCCCCACACACAGTGTGTATTACATTTGCGTTGCTTTGGCTCTCTGGGAATGCGTCGGTATCTCGTGGACCCCCCGAGGTTTGCTTGACTTGACCGAATAATAAAGGTAACAGTTTGCACCTTTCCTTATTTTTTACTCGTTTCGACAACAACTACAACAACAACAGCAACAACTGCAGCTACAGTTAATGAGAACGAAAAAAAACACAGTTTAACCATTTTTCTGGCCTGCGTGATTGCGTGCGTGCGTGTGTACAACGAGCATTGATTCTTTATTCGGCATGAATTTTTTACGTAGTTGTAGATTATTTCTGCCTGCATATATTTTACGTGTATAAAATATAATATACAATACATCTCTCTGTGTGTATGTGTTTATCAAATTATATTTAATTATTATTATTATTATTATATATATATATATACCAAAGTATCTTGATCACTCGAGTGCGAGCACGTGCCACTACGCTCACGATCAATTCACCGACCTTTGCGCTGGCTCTTCTTTGAGCTCGTTTGGAAACGACAACTTTTATTCACTTCTGCATGTTTTTCACCGTCTCTTTTTTCTTTTTCTTTCTCTCTCTCTCTCTCTCTCTTTCTCTCTCATACACACGTACACACACACACACACACTCTCTCTCTCTCTCCCTCTTTCTCTCTTTCTCTATCTATCTATCTATCTATCTGTCTGTCTGTCTGTCTGTCTGTCTGTCTGTCCGTCTTTGTCTCACTTCTCTCTATCTTCGTCTGTCTGTCTGTCTGTCTGTCTTTCTTTCTCTTTTTTATATTTCTTTCATCGCAAAAGACGGGACGAAGACGCGATCGCAAAGCGAGCTCTCCCTCGCGTAAAAGTGGGAGAAAAGTAACGATTCTGCGAATGCAATAAAAAAAGATCTTAAGCTCTCCTGGGCCGATAGAGCCTTTAAGTACTCGAGCGTGGAACTTGACGTAAAGAACTCGATGTAAAGAGCTCGAAAATCGTAAAAAAAAAAAAAAAAAAACTTCGCGTCCTCCGTCTCGTCGGCGACCGGCAATGTAGGCTAGTAGTACGTATATTATTAATTAAATTTGTACTTGATCAAACTAGTCGTTAGACGCGGGTACTTACATATATACATATATTGTTATTATATTGTTATTGTTATCATTATTATTATTATTATTATTCGCCTCCCCCTCACGAACTCTCCGCACCCATTACACATCCCTGCGTACCCCCTGTTTCCGAAAGTTCTACTTGTTTCACACGCAATTACCATCGTTTTGGGCTCGAGTATATTTGTTATACTCACGTTACGTATATTATATATTGCGTTTATATCTATCTATCTATATATATATATATATATATTGTCGCACGCGATCGATGCGTGGCCGATATTTTGCCGTCTTGTAAAACGTTGGAAACTCCCACTCACAGTATCTCGCTTGTGCAGCGTTTTTTCTCTCTCTCACCACCAGTAAGAAGTAGAACCTTGCCAACACAAACAATACACCTGATCGTACAGAAACCAAACCCCCTAAACGAAGACTTTTGTCGACAAATCGATGCGCGACGCAAAATCTCGCTCCGGGTCGAGACCAAGCATCCGTTTCTTTCTCCTTGTTTTTATTTTTATTTAAATTTTTTTCTTAACGGGCTGAAAGCTGTATTACATTATTATGTACTTATTGTATCGCGCGCTATATCATAGAAACACGCCTTCGTTTCGTTGTCTTTGTTCGTAGCTCCCTAGGAAAGTTAACGTTGCAGATAATAGATGATCGATTGCCCACCCCCTTGTCACTTACCTTGTTATCCTGTTGCGGTGTTGAACATAGAGGTGAATTGTCTGCTGCTGCCTGCGTGCGAATGACACGAGACTTTTATATATATGTGTATATATATAAATATATATATATATATTTATTTATATATATATATATATACATATATATATGTATCGATTGACACTCGCGAAATACGCCTCGCATCGATTCATGACCTTCTCGATTTTCCAACTCTTGCCCCCACCCACATACTTACCTTCATATTCTCACTCTGTCTCTTTTCTCAGTATCTTTATCAGTTTTTTCATCTAAAACGCAAGTAGCCGCGTAAGTAAGATTATCGCGTTCTTTAAACGCGCGCGAGTTTCGAGAACTGTGCGAGAGTCGTGCAAAAGTTAGTATACGGAAAGCGCGCAATTTCAAAGAAAGAAATTTAAAAAAAAAAAAAAAAAAAAAAAAACGTACAGTTTTACACACGGAACTCTTTCTCTTTCTCTGTTTTACGTCTGTTTTATCGGTTCGTTTGAGATTCGATCTCTTTGAGTCGCGCTGCGCGTCGAAGCGACACGAGCTTATATACGTAGCTCTCTCTTTTCGTTCGCGCCGCGCACTTTTTTTTCACGACTCTTTTCTATCATGAGAAAAAAAAAAAAACGTACCTGTCTCTAAATCGCTAACGACCAGTAAAGCAAAACATAAGTTTGCACGTTAACGTACGTTGACATATTCGCATAAAACAAGCCTCTCTGACGTTTTCAGTGCCGCCCAGATGGATCGTCGAGCCGACCGACGTGAGCGTCGAGAGGAATCGCCACGTCGCGCTGCATTGCCAAGCGCAGGGCGTCCCGACGCCGACGATTGTTTGGAAAAAAGCTACCGGTGAGACAATTGTATACGATAAAATAATTATCTTCCGTTGATAAAAAAATAAATTTATACACGTACATTGTATATACATGCAATTTCAACTATTTTCTCAAACTTGTTATTTTGTGAGTAAAATAATACGCGACAAAATATTTTCTTTTAATATCGATAACAAAACTATATTGCAATATAGTTTTGCTTCACTCGGTACTGTTTTTTTGTTTTCACCAGGAAGCAAAGCCGGTGATTATGAGGAGTTGCGCGAACGAACGTACACGAAAATCCTTAGCAATGGCACTTTGTTGCTGCAACACGTGAAAGAGGATAGAGAGGGCTATTATCTGTGTCATGCGAGCAATGGCATAGGAAGCGGTTTAGGAAAAGTCGTGCAATTGAAGGTCAATTGTGAGTAAAATGCGCTTCGCAATAACACACACATATCTCTTTGAATTACACCGGCTTGAGGAATTTTGTATTTACAAGATGCAAACTCACTGTTTTTTCATAAAAATTAATTTTCAATCATAGACGCAAACCAAAATTTGAAAATAACTTTCAAATTTGTGCAAATGTTTTTTACTGATGTGAAAAAATATCGCGCACCGAACATCCGTGTCGAATCTTCTTACGCGCGAGCTTAGTTTTTTTCTAATTAAAATGTAATTTAATTTTGAGAATCTTGTTTGATTTAAATATTTGTTCGCGATATACGGAGAACATTGGCATTTAATTTTACAACAAATCTCGTATTATCCCGAGACTTAACTCTCTTTTCTGTACCGCTTTACGGATTTGTAGCGTCTCCGTATTTCGCGGCACCGTCGCGGCTCGTAACCGTGAAGAAAGGCGACACGGCAACGTTGCACTGCGAAGTACACGGCGATAAGCCGGTTACCGTTACTTGGCTGAAAGGCGGCAAGAGCGAGTTGAATCCTTCGACGAATTACCGGTAAGTCGAGATTAACCGTACAATCGCATTGAAGAGTTCGCTACTAACGCGATAATCGATACGCGATGAATTAACTAAATCCGCACACGGCGTAAAATCTCTGCTCTGTGTCTGTGATTTGCGTGAAATTATCATGTCCCTCACTGCGTCACGTTTATTGCGAGCGGCGCGTTGTTCTCGATAAATCGATCATGTCGGAATTTAGCAAATGAGATATGACGGTTAAGCTATTAATAATGAATTTCAGAATAATATATGTATATACATATGTATGTGTGCATATATATATATATATATATA